AAAAAAAAAAAAAAAGAGTGCTTGTCTAACATGCATGAAACACTGGGCTTAATTGCCAGAACTGAATAAATGAGGTATGGTAGTACATGCCCGTAATCCTAGCACTTGAGCAGTAGAGCCACAGAGCATCAGAAATTCAATTACATATCATATTCAATTACATAAGTTCAAAGCCAATCTGTGCTACATAAGACCCTGCCTCGCCAGGCAGTGGTGGCGCACGCCTTTAATCCCAGCACTCCGGAGGCAGAGCCAGGTGGATCTCTGTGAGTTCGAGGCCAGCCTGGGCTACCAAGTGAGTTCCAGGAAAGGCGCAAAGCTACAACACAAAGAAACCCTGTCTGGAAAAACCAAAATAAAATAAAAGACCCTGCCTCAAAACAAAGGTGAGAACACTTTAATGTTCATCATTTTAAAACATACATTGGAACTGGAAAAAAGAACTAAGAGCACTGGCTGCTCTTGTAGGGTCCAATTCCTGGCAAGCACCCACAAGGCAGCTCACAACTGTCTCTAACTCAAGTCAGAGTAGCTGACATCTTCTGGCCTCCAAAGACATTGCACACATGTGATGCATAAGCATACGTGCAGGCAGAACACCCATAAACATAAAGTGAAACAGAAGAAAAACAACAACAACAACAGTTGCACCCCAGAGGAAAAAATTATAAAAAATTAAAAATTATAAAAAAAAAATTATAAAAACCATACAACTAAAATTATCTTCTCAGAGAAATCTATCTTCTCAGAGAAAACTATAAATCTGCATATCCTTCCCAAAATCTCTTGAGATTAAAACTGGAATACTAAATACTTAAGATGGTAATAAGATACTCATACACACATATGCTCTCATGACTACCAAGTAATCAATACAACAAACACAACCAGTACCACAAGTCTGAGATAAATGACTATTATAACCAGACTGAAGGACTGAAGCTTATCTATTTAATGCACAAACTATACCTGCCCAGTTTTTACCAGATTGAGTACTTTATGCTAGTCTTCCAGTCCTATTTTGCTTAACCTGAGCTGCATTAAACAGGAGGACAAAAATAAGTGATGGTCAGTCAACTCTTTCAAATTGTTAAAGACACTTATACAAATTAGCAATCTTTTGAGATAGAGTCTCATTGTGTAGCCCGGGCTGGCCTGGAACACCCTATATAGACCAGACAGATCTCAAATTCAAGATCTACATGCCTCTGCCTCCCTAGTGTTGGGATCAAAGGCCATGATCCACCATAAATGAGCTTTTAAAACCCTACATTCAAGGATTAGTTCCTACCACCCATATGACAGTTTAAAAAACCACTGTAACTCCTTACTGGGAACCTGATGCTCTCTCTTAGGGCTTCTGTAGGTACCAGATATGCATGAGGTACACATACATACTTGCAGGCAAGCAAATACTCAAAAGTACTAAGTAACAATAAATATATCTTTAAAAATCTCCAGGCTGGGCAGTGGCGGTGCACACCTTGATTCCCAGCACTGGGGAAGCAGAGGCAGGCAGCTCTCTGAGTTTGAGGCCAGCCAGGTCTACAGAGTCAGTTTCAGGA